CGCCCCCCCCCCCCCACTCCGGGCCTCAACGGTCAATGGTCCAAGCACTAAGGCATGCAAAACATGAGCATGCCCCCCCATCCCCCCCGCTTCAATCCTCTCTGCCTGTCTCTGCCCCCCACTCCTCTGGCGCTCTCCCTCCCTCCCTCTCACCCATTTCCGCATGGAACGGATGGCCTTAACCGCGCCGATTCCATTGTTTGCCACGAGGATCTGCCGGTACGGGTCGTCGGCGTTTTGTTGCGGAAGTCCGTCCAGCGGAGCCCGAGTTCGGACGGAGAGCAAAAAAAAAGGAGCAAAACATACGGATCAATAGGCGGGGCAGGACCGGCGGCGGGTGGAAAGCGGAGACCGTCAACAATTTGAGGGCAAAACAGGCAATACATCAATCGAACATACATGTGATCAACCTTTAAAACACGTTGCTGCTGCGTGGGACAAGGTGTGTCCAATACGTGCCATAGTTGGTGGGACACTCCAAAGCAACTTCATGCCAGGTTAACATGGTTCGCCCCTATGATCTGAAGCGTCCAAATCTCGTCATGCTTGAGGCCGCTATGTTCAATCTCGATACGGTTTTGGTAGTTCGTGAATGTTCATATTCAAACGGCCTTCGGCTTGATTGTTCACTCTCTAAGCGGGTCAAAGAGGGAGGATCCCTGACACCCTCGTCGCGGCAACTAATATATCTTGCGAATTTATGGAAGTCGTTAGGTGTCACCATGGCGGAACAATAGTGTGTCCCCACGTGAAGCAGTCACGACTGTCCTGCAGGCGGATACTGCTGTACCCACGGAGTATAACGAAATACTTCAAAATTGCAGAGTTATAAACGAACGCCCTTCTTGTTGTCTTGGCTGGTGGCTTACTTTGCGAACCAGCCGTAGACATCACCAGGGACGTTACCGACCAATTTTAAGCTGTGAGCTCTAGCGAGAACGGAGAGTAACCCGCGTTGCCAAATAGCCACCCACAACAGACAACGCCATCGGCGTCCGCTACACGGTAGAAGTCGCCCAGTACTCGCTACATACTCCCATCCCCCCGAAAACTCGGGAATTTTCCCGTAAACATCTCTCGCCGCCAACGAATTTTATGGTGCAGTCTACCCGTGCAGGCTACTGGATGCGAGGATACCATGTCACGCCATCTTCCATAGCCAGTTGGTACGGCAACGCGCTCGTAGTGGGGAGGCACAAAACAAAAGCAACAAACCGCCGTACGGGCGGAGGGGATACATGCACTAAAAAAATGCGGCGGAATTGGTCCGAGAAGTGTCGTGACAGGAGACGTGACGAATCACGCATCACGCCAACCTGCTGCTCCCTCGCCAACGCCGAACATTGCTAGGCGGACAAACAGAGGACTGGCAGCACAAAGACCCGGAGAGAACCAGGAGGGTTGTGTGGAGACCAAAAGACCACGGGCGTCGTGGCAGAGACAACACAGCAGGCTCCTCGTGGGATGGGCAGGCGCCGTGCCGCCAGTACGTACGCGCGTGCGCGGCGAATTGCAGCAAACCTAACGGGACCGCGGGGACGCAAAAAACGTCCCGACACGCCTACACAAACCTATTTATCTACCGAGCAAGCCGGCGATCGAGCAAGAGTTCTTCGCAAAATTCGACACGCCACCTACCCTTTGTGTGCAGCAATCAAGTCCTGTGTGTCTGCAGCTACCTCCGTCCACACCAGACAGAGTTGTTGACGTGCGGCCACACAAACGTCACACACTGACCTGCCTCTTGCAGCAGAACGCAAACCGTGCATGTATCGCACCTACGTAACGTAGACATAGCATCCGAGACGTACCCACGCCACAGGGCCAAGCGTTTACCCGGTCACCATAAAGCACGCGCTACTGACCTTCTTGATCGGCCTGTTGCCGCCTCGGGCCTTGACATACTCCTCCACGGAGCCGTAGAAGGCACCCCGCTGCTGGTTCGCCATTGTTCCCCTCCGCGTTGCTGCTACTGCTGCTACTGCTGCTGCTGCAACCTGTTGGCCGCGTGCTTGTACCGTCTTGCCTGGGTTATGATTTCTAGTGACTCCGTGACCACGCCTGCAGTTATCGGGGCGTCAGTGATGCAAAAGGTGGTAGTCAGGTAGAGCATGCAAGGGCATGCCAAGGACAGCAAGGAACAGCGTGCAGTGCTGCTTTGGATACGATCAAACCTCAAAATCGGTGTGCTAGCTTTCACAACGGACCTTTGAGCTCACGCGCTTGTTATTATCTGACGTAGCCGGAGCAAAGCCAACACTCGTACTCGAGAGCCCGACTGCCTACGCCTATGTACCCACCTCAGCAGTCATGCACTGCGTCCCGCAAGCTCTCACGTCCTGGAAATGAATTGGAATGATCTTTTAACCCCAGGCCAGAGAGGCGACAGAAAAAAAGTTGTCACGGGTTTCAGTGTATCACAATTGTTGGCGTTCTTGGTGGTCGGGAGGGTGGGGATGCGTGTATTGAGGACACGGACCAGCACGGCGCTTGGGGTCAACCACTCACTTCGAGTGGCTGAGCTAGTAGTCAACAGGATCGAGCGGATGTAAAACAAGAGGCCGCAGAATGTGACATGTAATGTAGGTTCAGAACGAAATAATTTGCATGTCGGAAGCAGGAGCACTAACTTGTTTCGTGTTTTGTTTGTGCCCCAAAACCCGATGGTATAGACTATCTCTCCCTTTCTTTGGAGCCGAATGACTCTTGGACTTGAGTTCCAAATCGGCAGGACCGTTCGGAGAAAAAGTGGCAGCGGATGTAACACGTCTATGTGTGTGTACACAAACGGCTCGATTTTCGTGTTTGTCTTTCGCAAGTCGCCCGGAGAACGATTAGTGAGGCTGAATCCTTCCGGGGGAAACAAACGTCCCAAACACCGCAGAGGAAAGCATAGGAAGAGACACACTCAAAGGACACAAGAACTGCTGTGATACAGTCGGAAGCATACGGTCTTGTTTCGGGCGCAAGCGAGGGTAAACGCCGCACGGTTCGTCGGGTTTGACTCTACCCGGAACATAGACTCCCGGGTACCGACGCAAGGAGGCCACATAGTAAGCCGCCGGCACCACACAAAAAAAGTCGGTTCATAATCGTTGAGTCACATCAGGCGTTTGAGACTTGCTCAAAATAGGTACGTTACAAGCGGGCCCGCACTGTAGTAGCAGCAGTGTCACAGCGATGTTACAATCTCCGACGTGTCCAGGCGAACTGCCATGCTCATGAGATTTCCGGAGCACATGGCTTGAATTACAGTTTACCAAAGTAGTCGGGGTCTCTCGCTCCTCTCGCACGCACGCCCCCATTTGTCTGTATTCTGTCTGCTTCATCCCCCCACCCCCACATACACCTGCGCCCGGTTGATTCCCGGCGAACAGCAGTACGCACGAACATAACAGATTACAACCCTGTACAGGTCGCCCCATAATCCCTGCACTGCTTTTCCCCGTCTGGGGTCCCATGCTGCCCGCCCCGTTCCCCGCCCCTCCGCCCAGACCCTAACCTACCTACCCTGCTTGAACCATTGTACTCCCACCTTACCCTCAATTCTATTTCGAGATACACCTGGCATTCCCTGTTTGGTCCTACCGAAATGAAAGAGACAATTAAGGAACAACTCGTCCATAACCAACGAGGCATTCACGCGGTTGCTACAAAGCCGTGCTTCGATCTCGCATGGCAAGCAGTGCCCTCCCTCTCCGTGCCAAATCGCGAACACCAACAACTGTCATGGGACAAGGTCTGTATCCGCAGCGCACCAACCGGTAGATGCCGCCACGAAAACAAATGTACATGAGCAGCAAAAGCATCAGGTCGAAGCTGGAAACACTCAACACTGATGAGCGAGTTGTCGCCCCGATCCCAGCCCCACCCCGCTGTCGCTCTAGCAGCCCTTGCTTGCCGACCCGCCTTTTCTCCTACCCATTAGTTCGCTCGTCGGCAAAACGCCAGGCGGCAGGCAACATTGCAAACACCCACAGCGAGCGCTATGCATAGCAGCAGCAGCACCAGTCTCCACGCAAGACACAGAATCGACTGCATTTATTTGTGCTCCCACCGCCTCTCTTCGTCCACCCAGCCCCACGACTTGAAAGAAAAATCGCGGTTCTTTCAAACAACAACAAAAAAGTCCCCTGTTCTAAAAACGTCTCGTTCGCTTCCTTTCCAAGAAATTACGCATACAATGTGTCGGTATGTGCCCCATCATCGCGCACTAGCTACATAGAGGTGGACGGGGACGGGGGCTGCTCGACCTCCGTTACCCCCGGGAGCATGGTGGACACCAACGACCTCGCGATGTCCAGCGTGGCGTGCGGCCGCCCCATGGACATAGCGTTCCGCCCCATCGCCTCCAGCTTCTCCCTGTCCCCCAAGAGGTCGCTCACCTCGTGGGCGATGTCTCTCGGCTTCTTTCGGTAGAGCCCGAAGTGGTTGTCCGTCACGTACGGCACGTTGCCGGCCTCCTGGGAAGCGTCATTCGCGGAAGGGAAGCAAAAGCAGAAACGGTGTTGAGAACACAGGGCACGACGAACAAAGAGGCACGGGTAAGAGCCGAACAGGGTTGGTTGTACTCGGAAACGTTGAGATCGGGGAGCAGGTAGAACGGAAGCAAGAGGCACGGTTACGCCGGACAGAATCGGTTGTACTCGAAAACGTGGAGATTGGGGTGTAGGGGCGTACTGATGTAAACGCATGCCGCAGTCGTTCGACCATTGGCCTCGCATCCCCACAAATGCCGGGACGGGGCTGTATGCCGGGTTTCGCCGACCCAGGCTTGGGGGACGTGGGGGGGGTGATCCACGGAGTCTAAAACATAACTACTGAACCCAATAGAAGGGGTGAGCGCCTGGAGATATTTGCGTTGTCGTGACATGTGACCCGCCCCGGTTGGCCCTGTCCCTTGGAGAACACGCCCGGGTTACAGCAGGGAGCGATTCGCTGTTCATCGCGGTGCCAGGGCTGCGTGTGGCGCGGGTATTTACGGCGTCGACACCACGAGAGGGGGTGCTTGGCTCCGCCATACCACAAGATTGCGACGGTTAGCATTGGGGTACCCGCCCACCTACAGCAGTACCATACAAGTGCGGGCGGTCGCACACGCGTGCGATCGTTCCTAAGGCTCGATTCTCCAAAACCAAGGGAGGGAGGTAAGGAGGGTGCCAATATTCAACTCCTAGAAGTCCTAAAAAGGGTGGTTTTGCAAACATTTCGTCGAGGGCTTTCCTTTAGCGTTTCGGTCGGCGCTGGCACCCTCCTGGTCGCGGAGAAATTACGCTTTGAACATCGATCGCACTCCTGTGCGTTCGCACGCACTCCTACGGCAATTCAAACCTCCGCGGTGCATGCATGAGCTGTGGGCAGGATGCAACGCAGCAGACAGACAACGATAGAAGGGCGGTACAGCAGTACTGCGGACGCGGTTGCTCAATACTGCCTAGGATGATGGGGCAAGGGTCCTTGAGCTGCGTAGGAACTGACCTGTCCTGGCAAGAACGAGGAGAGGATAACCGGGAGACCTCTCGTGCACGCCTCTGCTATTGTTCCCGGTCCAGCCTGTCCCGGACGGGCGTGTTCAATATATCAAGAACAAGCAAGCGCGGAGTGTAAGCAGATAGATTCTCCCGTGTGAAGAATGCGTGTAGCGCTAGCGGTCGGGGGTGAGGGGGGGGGTGGTATCCAGCAGAATTTGAGTTGTCTTGGAGCCCGGCGAACAAGCAAGGGCTAAGGCAGTCGCCTCGGCACCCTAAAGAATGTCCTGAAGAGCGCTAACACCACAACAAGACCGGCGGTAGGGTGCCACTATCGCATCATCCATAGGTACGGGTGTTACTCTTCGCATCCTGTTGACCTAAACTCTCCTGGACCGACATAACTCATCCGGACTTCCGAGGAGGAGGCCAACCAAAACGAGAGCAACAACCGACATCACCCTCGAGACCGAGACCTAACGAGCGGATACCCCAAAAAATAAACCCACGGCAAGCGCATGCTACCATCAAAAGAAACGTGTACGAAGTGTTTTGTGTTCTGTTCTACCTGAGCTGGGGTCAAGCGTTGTAGGATTGGGCGTATCTCTCGGTGTACCTACACCACCACCTCATCACCTTCGTCACCAAGAGGTCGGAAGCTGACATCCACTCGTCCATGTTAGACACGAAGCCCAGCACTCGCACGTTAACCCCGCTCCCTTCCCCCGGCCAGGAGTGCGCCTCCAGCGCCTCCCTTGTCTTGTTGTTTGTGCCGCACACCACCACGAGCTGCCCCGGGTGGTGGTCTGAGGCCAACCGATCTGCGACCTACCACAACAGCAGCAGCAGCAGCATAAGCAGCAGCGGAAGCAGCAGGATACTCTCACGAAAATACCACGTGATGATTGCGTTCCATTTCCCGAAAACGAATCCTCCCCCAGCCCTACAGTATGCTCTCCGACAGCCTTTTGGCTGGCGTGGCCACGAGCAAAAACGCACCTCAAATTCAAACGATTCTCATGAATGAAATTTCACGGTATGCTTTGTGTCCGAAAAACGTGGTCGCGAATGAGAAACACACGCCTTGCCTGCCAACGCGTCGAGAGACTAGGTAGGGCTCACCTTTGTTGCGATGTCATGCAGCTTGCCAACGCCGTCCCCTCCTCCCACGATCAACGCCGTCCTGGCGTCGCCAACGAGAACGAGAATGATCGAGCGGGGATTGGGGGCACGCGAGGGAGGCTGCTACATGGTCCCATCAAAGACCCCCACGACATGTTGTAGGACAGTACCCGTTGCTGCCGTCGCACTGCATGCGTACACGGGTGCACCGACTTCGTCGCCGCCGTACCATGGGTAACACGGGAGAGCGTGTGCCGCCGATGGAAAATCTAAAAGCGTAGCTATGTTCCATTTCAACCACCACCACACAAGACGAGTGTTGGACCAGAGCCACACACGCAACACCCACCGAGGACTCCTATCTGGCCCAGAAACCAACAACACATAAAAGAAAAAAGGGTGAGCGAGTGGCTCGGACCGTGTCTTCTCACCTCACTCCCGCCTGCAAGCCCAGCCTCTGCTGCACAGCGTGCTTATCCGACGACGCTTCCCTGCAACGAAGGACGCGGTTCAGGGAAAGGCGGCGTGACTAGAGACTATTACACGCACAAGAAGCAGCGCCAGCGGAACACACAAGTGCTCGTGCAAGGTGCTACAACCCGAGCAGCGGCCGCCGCGCTTGGCGCGGTGCCCCTCTGCGTGCGAAGCAGAAGTAGTGGACGATGCGAGCGAGACAATCAACAACAACATTGAAAAAGCTTGGAGGTCCCTCATGTTTGGAACACTGCTGCTGCGCGCTTCCAGACTCTAGCTTGTGGTTGTGTCAAGAGAGAAGCAAATCCCAACGACCGAGGGGGGGGCGAAACACTGCAGCAGCACGTGTATTTAAGGCTTTTCTCGTTGTGGGTTTTGAGAGTGAAAAAAGCAAAGTTCAACGACCGACAAAGGGGGGCCTCTCCGCCAAAGAGGAAAAAACGATGAAGCCTCTACAGTCTTGGCACAAGCACAGGTCCACAGAAAGCACAGCGCTGCGTTAACACCCACGCGACAACGCAAAAGTCGACCAGCACCTCCTGCCAAGCCACGCACCAAAAGGCGTCGCGCACGGGGAGCCCGAACTGCATGAGCTTGTGCTGCGGGATGCCCCTGGCCCGTGCCCTTTCTCTCAACACGTCGCTCGGTACGTACGTAAGGTCTCCCTGTCGTAGTTTGCCGGCAAGAGCGCGCGCGCCTACGGTGGTTACGACGACCATGGGGAATTTGAGCATGCAAGTAAACAGATAACAATGAGGTATCCCGCCGTCAAATCGGATGCACGTACAGCCCGGCAGCAGGTGCCGTAAGAGATAAAGAGCAACTGAGGATGACAACCAATTCATCCAAGAGACTGCAGATGCATCAAGCATCGAGCTTACGGCAGGAACGCCATCCGCAGATGCCGAAGGCCAAGACGTTACATACACGCCCCCCGCAGTGCATGATTCATCTACAACCACCAACGCATAGTTTTCCATCAGCCAAAGGATGAGGAGAAATCTTTTAGCAACAAGCACAAGGATTGTACGAGTTTTGATGTCACGCAAGTGCCGTGGCTATTAAATTCACGATACACCATGCACGAGTCGGCAAAAGGCCAACAAAGCTTGTCAGTTCCGGCGTCAACAAGCAGCAGCCACAGCACAGCAGTTGCCCGTGAGAGCCGGCATCTCTCACCCTTGGGTCGAACCACGTCGGGTGCGCCGAGCCCAGGTCTGTGACAACGGTGGCGAAAGGAATCTCCTTCCTAAGACCCAGAGATGGATTCCGACCCAGCCGGTGCATCCATGCGACGACAGAGTTTCGATCCCGAAATAACAACCATCGAATTGCGGCCGAAGGCCAGCAGGAATAAGGTGTCGAGGGCGGGGCATCGGTGGAGTGAGAAAAGAGTGAGGGCATGAGCCCGGGTTGTTGCTGACGTTGGCTTCGTGCGAACTTCCTGGGAGCGAGATCTAGCTCGGCAAGTCGCGCCGCTGTGCAAAATAAAAACGAGCACGCATGTAATCGCCATTCCACTCAATCGCTAAAAGAAAGAGAAGGGGTTTCTGCCTGACAAGCAAGCACCATTTGCCGTGCCGCACACACGAATACTTCATTTCCTGTTGCCACCGCCGCCGCGTGCGCGTGCCACTGCTGCTGCTGCTGCTGCCACTCACACAAAAAATAACAGCGCTCACCCCGTATCCTCCCGTATTCTCTTGAGCACCCTAAGAGGCACGTGGTGGCACAGGGGGTGCATGGACACGACCAGGTCCGGATCGTACTTCTCAAGGCAGCTTCGGAAGCTCCGGTGGCACGTCAGGTTTGCCAGTACCTCTGCCCACCGCCTACGGGAGGGTGTAGCAGATATATAAAGATCCACCACGACAGGGAGCGTGGGGGGGGATAGAGGACGGGGTCGATTGAGCGTCTTGCGTGTGTACACCGCTGCCGCGGAAGATACAGCAGCCTGTTTGTTTCAGGCCGCCATGGTCAAGCACACACACAAAAAAAAAATCTAAGGGCAAAACCACCGTCCTTTTTGCATCGGGCACCCGGCACTACTCAGAGTATGAGATGACTTGAGTATTCCATCTGCGCCGAGCGATTTTACGGGCCTGAAGCGGGGCAACCGGGCCTAAAAAATAATACATCATAAACAGGGAACCTCTGCAACGCTGTGCGGACCTCGTTCGTTCTCTGTGGTGCGGGCATCCTTTCCCTCAAAACTCACCGGGTGGGCGGGAACCGGGCCATGTCGTACGAAAGCTTCCACAAGAATGGGCGCTTCCCCAAAAACTTGTACGTCCGCACGGCTTCGGCGAAGGGGAACCGGCCGTACTCTGTCCAGATGTCCACGATATCTGTGTGGATCTGGAGTACATCATGATTTGGGGCACGTAAGTGCATTTGGGGGGCGGCGTGCTGTTAGAAACTTCCCCAACGCGGTGTTGGATCATCGCCAACAAAAGCATTTGCGTTTCGACACAAGCAAGGGGGTGGTCATCGTTATTAATGCAACAACTTGGAGATGTTGTACACGCTTCAACCGCTACCGTGGCTGCTGCTGTCACCTTTTCCGACACAGCACTTTACACAGTACAGACTTCAACTTTGGCGGTGGCTAGCGTCTTGACGCAGCTATTCAAGGCAACCAAAACGACGTCATGAACTCCAGGAGCAAGGAGTGGACCTGAGCAAGCGTTCGCGGCGGCGCAGTCAGCCGGCCCTACGCATGCGGATGGCATGTAGTACCACACCATATGCACATGCACGGGAGGGACTACATACACCCAGAAGGGCAACACATGGCATGGATCCGAGGTTGCTTACAAGTAGCAGTTGCGCCGCAACGCGTTTATACGCTATATACTACGGACGGCGTCCTGAAACGTTTCGGACCCTCTTCGCCTGTGAACAAGCTGCGGAGAAGCTGCCATGCCTCGCCGCCCCGTCGCTGCATGCATACCTGGTCGCCGTAGAGGTTCTCGAGAGCCGCGTTTAGCGCCTGCGAAGATGCTCTGTGCCCCCCCCCGGTGTCGCTCATGAGGATCAATATTTTCTTAGGTCGGGTCGTCGTCGTTGCCTCCGTCGGTACCCCAACATCCAACCCGGTCGCGGACGCCCTGAGCGCCGTGGCCGCGGCCCTAAACCCTTTCCCTTGGGATAGCGCGGACGCCACTCGGAGTGCTCTCGCGTTCCGAATTCCGGTAGACGCTACTGCATGTTGTGCTGCGTTCCCGGTAGCAGCAGTTGGACTACTGTACTCGTCGTGTTGTTGCACAGATGATGCGTTTGCTGCCTGCTCATCGTCGGTTGCCTGTTCTAGTGCTCTTCGCTCCTGCTCCGACCTTCCAGTGAACGCGTACAATCGTCGATGGCTCCCGCTCCTGTTGCTGCTGCGCGCTGCTCCGCGCCCGCCCTGCTGACACCCTAGGACGATCTTCGGTAGAGGCGATGCGGCGGCAACGGGTGTTGAGGTTGGAAGAACCACGAAACAGGCGACCGGTCCGGTACCCACGGACAGAGCTAGCCAAAGCAGCGAGAGGGGTCCGCGGAAGGCCATACGCTGGTGGTGGTGTCGTCTACAGGGCGATGGCGCCGCAAGTCTCCCTGCCGAGCTTATTTGCTGCATGTTTCTGGATGTGTGTGTTGTCACGGACCCTGCTGCTGCTGCCGCCCTCTTGCCCTCCTGCCCCGCATGTGGCGGCCACGCAAACTGGACAAACCAAGTACCCCACGCCACGTACGTATGCATGAAACTGTCAATTTTTGTGTAGTCGTCGTGGGATGATGTAATCACGTCATCACCGACGACAGGACACACCGCATAACCCCACCTTGCCCTCTCTCTCTCCCTCCCGCACACCTTGTAGTGTTCAAAGTCTGCCCATCCAGTGCACGGTGGAATCATCCGACGGGTTGATCCATCGGGGAGAGAGAGAGAGAGGGAGGGAGAGAGAGAGAGAGAAAGAGCGAGAGAGAGAGCGGTCGCCTGACTCGTAGATGGGGATGAGCCTGAGCCTAATGCCGTCGCGAATACACCACCACGCCGGGCGGAGCACAACGGTATAGTCTACAGGCACCGTACCGATAGAGTGCTGAGAGCGTACTGCTGTACATATGGTATAGAGACGCTGACCTGCAGGATCTGTCTGCAGGGCGTACGCGTGGAGAGAGTCCCCGGGACTCTTTGTGTGATCGATGGAGCCAGCTTGCACCGAGGCGGGGAAGACCTTGAACAGAGGGGTGAAGCCGACAACGCCCACCGCACGCGATCCGACGGGAAAAGCTAGACGAAGATCAAGCGAGGTAGTACCCAGAAGAGGCCTGCCGAAGGCCTTAGGTCGAAATAAATCTTGCGTGGATGTGGGTGAGACAGGAGTGCCCATGGCAGGGTCAAACGCGGGGAACAGTGCCGTCCGCGCTCGTCGAGGAAGCCTGTCGATGTTGGCCAATCAGCTCCGGCTTCTCGAAGAGGAGAAAGCCGGTGCGGCCCGAGTGAGGTGCGATAATCGTTGTGCGGGTACTGATGTGTCGTGGTTATCGTTCAACCTCCAGCCTTACTTGACTTCATCGTCCACTGGTGTTGTGTTCGCGTTGTTTTGTCCGTGTTGGCTCTCGAGGGTATTCTGTCGCGATCACCTCTGCGCTCTCGGAGTGCATTGTTGTGATCGGCACAACAAAATCGAACAAAATGACAGTTCCCTTGTTTTGTTCGCACATGGCGATGGTAGAGAGGCGGGGTCATTCATGTGCACACAATTGAGTGGGAAAAGGATGCACTGCCTGTGCCAATAATGCCGATCTCCACCATTCACTATTGTCTTCGGAGCGCGGCAAACCTTTGACAGCTGTCTCATAGCATAGAGCGAGAGAAGGAGAGAAAACGAGAAATAGTCTAACGTTGGCACGGAAGTAGCACAGGTTCCCTTTGTGATACCAGCGCAGAGGGGGGTGCGTCTGTAGACCGTATTTCCAGCTTGTCTGTTATGCTGACCGTATTTTCAGCTTGCCTGATATGCTGCACATCCCCCTTCATCGGCAACACTCCGAAATGAGTGGCGTCTTCTTCGCCACGGTTTACACTCCACGGCTGGCCGAAACTGCTGGCCGGCATACACATGCCCAGAGGAACCAACTTATCGCGCAGCATACCGCTCAACAGCGGTATTTGTAAAGGGAGTTGGGTTTCCAGGTCTTTTGTTCAAGATTGTGCCAACTTATAGTTCAATGTTACATCCCGGTTCCCGATCCCTTGTTATTCCCCCGCCCGTGTCGCCGATGTCTTGACCCAGATCAAAAGACAGCGAACAGCATTACATACAACATGTGCTTGATTCTGCGCCTTTCCTGGGATTCACAACAGTCGCAAGCACGGTTGCCCTTCTTCTGGCCGTTCTACGGACGGCTAGCTGGCAAAAATGGTGAGGGGGTACAAACGGGAGGAAAATGGCACTTCTCTTTACCAAAGACGTGTTGTACGGAGTAACCCAATCACCCATGTCCATGTAGACGACGTCGGTGTGTTGAAACTGCGCGAACCCAGTCCTGTACCACTGGCCGCCGTCATTAAGAGTCGTTTCAAAATGTATGCAGACATAAATTTGTCCAATTCATCACCGGAAAATTGTTATCGCTGCCTCGTCCCACGAATGGTACTCGAGTGTACGCGCTATTTACTGACACTCTTTTCGTTCTCTTGCGACACACAAGTTGTGTTCGGTGGCATGTTGTGGGTATCTCCAAGAACGACGAGACCCCTGCCTTGTTTCGCCGATATTCCCGCGTGTTCGAAAGCAGGCAAGAATCCGACTGGATTTGGGTGACTCAATTGTTGTTGGCGGCAGCTGCCGCTTTGGAGCTTGTGCTACGTCTGTACGCGTGTGGACCGTCGTATTTCTCCTATTGGTGGGTTGGGATCGTAAAGTGTGACATGCCAACACCAAGGCAACGTCAGCATGATTGCAGTCATGGCATGATGCACATTATACACCAAACTCGTGTCATGGAACCGTGCCGGTGGCCCAGAAAAATGGCATTATTGTGTAGGCAACGGACGGGCCAACCCTTGCTCGCCGCAAATCTAGACTCGCCCTATTCTCCATGTAGATTCCAAGCAGAAGTTCACAACAGTAGCCCACTGTAGACAGGTGTCATCCATCTCGCCCAAGAAAGAGAAATGAAACGATGTTGACGTCTGCAATATCGTTGTCCAAGAAAAAAATGTTATCAAGAGCAAAACAGCAGCCAATCAAAGAGCCTACATGAGAGGGTGGCAGCAAGATTTCGCCTTACTTAATGCACGTACGTCGGATGACCTTGAGCTTTATCATGGGCAGCAACATACCCAGCTCGCCTCCAAAGTGAAATTGTAGTCGTCTCCTGTTCCTGCCGCGCGAACGCCTGTGAGTTATTTCTTATTGTTTGTGCTATGCCAAGCCCCCATCAACTGATCACTGGACATGGCTTGGGGGAGAAATTTCATGTCCCCACCTCAGCAGCAGCAGCAGCAGCAGCAGCAGCCGCCTTTGTTGATAGACAAAGGGCATCTCGGAGACTATGTATCTTCTTGTATACCAGGCACGCGATTGTTTCATGAGTTGCTTGGGGGCACGGGCAACAAGTTCCATCCCTACTCGATAGACAAAGCACATAATACCAAAACCGACCCAGTGCGCGCTACCGGTACCACGCTAGCTGTATCGTTGGCGAGGTCAATGCCGCTTGACAAACCAATTCCAGCGTTGAGTGCGGCCTGTGCCTCTAAATGTGTGCTGGGTGTGACAATCAACCGCGCGTGGCCTTCATCTCGCTTCGCTTCAGGGTGCACTTGTGTGACGCGTTCGTGATCGTGGGGGGGGGCTGCCTGACGGTGTCGGTGAGGGTGGGCTCAGCGGTGCTGTTTCTGCGGACCGTGCGCATTGCAGCGTTCAGGCTTGGGTATTTAGCGCCTGGGCGTTCAGAATCACAGGTAGGTTTGTTCTGCGGCGCAAACACCTTGGTCGCGATAACGTATGATTGGGGTGTGTGACTAGCAAATAATCGGGTTTGTCCAGCTGCTGGAGGACTGTAAGAATAGATTCGCCATCCACAGTCTACCACGGTTTCGTAGTAACGACGAGCCCCGTCCCGGCCTCTGAAGCCGACAGTCCACAGACTACGGATAGCGGCAACCACGATGTGTCCTCACAGGCTGCGGCACTGCTGTGTGTTGCCCTGGAATTCCGGTCATTTGTTGTATTGCCTGGTGTCTGATCCATCTTGCCCGCTGAAAGTCCTCCTTTTGTGTATTCGCTACAAATGTTAAAGTTAAAGGACGAAAGAGAAATGGTAGCCTTCTGGCCTTGTTGCAGTCTGCCGCCCGTGTTCCTGTGCGTTAGCACTTGGGACACATCTGTACAACTGGCACCGGCTGCTTGTGGGCGTAAGAGTAACTCTGCTGGATTTCGGAACGATTCGTTGTTTGCTCGGCGGTGCGATCGTTTTCCCACCTTATCCTAAGCAATTTGTGCCATCCAGCGTGTGATCCAAGAAAGTGGAGGGCCGTTCGCAACGGGTACAGGTGTTCGGTAGACGGTAACCCAGACTGGTTGTTCAACAACGGTAGGGGAGACAGCCAAAGCACATTTTTCGTTTTTGTTCTTGACCATGTTTATTTTTCGCGCCCATTCGCCGTGGGGAGGCGAGCAGATCTCTACCAATCCGGCTGTGCAGCTGTATCAATTGGTCAATCGCGTTGTACGAGATTCTTCCGGATTGTTCACCACAGCCGAGAAGAGAACTCTCCGGCGTCTCCTGGTGAGAATTGCCAACCACGGTCTATTTTTCAAGATCTTGACGAGAGGGCATGTACGTCCATTTTGTTTTTCAAGGACGAAACACAGATTAATCTCTGTCCTTGGTAAGAGTCCAGGATAAATTTGCAGTGAGAATCCTACCTGTGATATGTTTCCTCGCACAAGATGTTTCGTGGTAGCCCACGTACGGATAACCGGCTCAACAATATATTTGGTGGTGATCATGCGTGGAGTAGGAGGGTTGTGAGTCGTAGGGATAAGTGCGTTGGGTGTTCATTTCATTCAACAGCAGTGAGGACAGCTGAGCACTGTAGGATTCACGCACATGTGTTCATTCCTGAGGGACGAAATCGTCGAGCGTGCGGGTGAGTTTTTGCTTACATTGGGCAAAATGAACGCTAGCCACCAAATCCCCCCTACTCGGTTCGGATGCGAGGTCTGCTCTATCCCCGAGAGCTTACTCTGGTGGAACGGGTCGGAGCAAATTTTGCTAGGAATGTGGTGCTTTACTACGCACGAGTGGATCCCAAAGTCTGATACTTGCGGTGTTCCCTAATCGTGCGCGAAATATGTCGAACGTCGCAGTAGACCCACGGTGAGAGCTTTGCTTGTTTTACGTTGTGAGCAGTATTCAACCGCTCGTGCTCTGAGGCCGACGGCCAATATTTGTGCTGAGCCTGGTGCCCCTTGCCCTCGCTCCCCGTCTGCCGTTTGTTTCCTTGGTAGTCCCTGCTCGCGCACAAGCAAATCTACGTGGACGCTACGCTACAGCGAGGAAACGAAGCCTACTGGAAAGAGTGAGAAATGTTTTTACACCACGAGCATGTTCGTTTGAAAACGTAGTGTACAAACGATTTATTTGTCTCCTTCTGAACCTGCTACGTTATGGGCTCGTATTCGTTTGGGCTCCGACATCGAACCGTGATCCAGACATCGTTAACATAAAAATTCGATCGATACGCCCCCGTAAAAATGGCAACACTCCTTGCGAGCCCCCCAGTACTACGCTTGCCAAGACCTTATACACAACCACGCGGCCTTTGTCTCAGTGTTCTCTCCGGAGTACTTTGATTACGTGATCTTTTGCGGTATCCAGTTTCACGGCCTTGAGGGTGGCAACACTGCCGAAAAATCAAGCATACACACACCACCACGCTTGCAAGCGGACGGATTGGTACTGGTGGTGCCAATGGCGGTCTCACAAAATATGGATCGAAGCTCCCCCTCTCGGGGAGTGTGGGGGATAAGTACAAGTATCGCTGGATATCACACACGCTTGTCCTCCTGTCTACTGCCGCTCTTTGGCCGTTGCTCGGCCGGCCCGTCAACTAACAACAACGCAACAACAAACCGGTGAAGATACGGCCAGGACGAGGACAGGGCTCGCGGGAGGTCCAGCTTCGCGGTCGGCGTCGAGGCAGACCCCGGAATCTCTCCTTCCTGCTTTTGGGTGTCGACCCCGTTGTCGCGCCCGCTCCCGGCGTCCTCGTCGAGCGAAGAAACGACGGCTTCGCACATGATCGGCGTGGCGATGGCGCTCGGCGGGGGTGGGGTCGGGAAGCCGACGATGGGGTCGATCCAAGACAACGCTGTCCGGGCAGTGTTGGCGAAGGTAACACGTCTTGGTCTGGGGGCGCATAGAGGGCGCCTGCGCGCGGGGGTGGAAAACAGATTTGATCGTCCCGTTTTTGGTTGCTGAATTTTGACGCTCTGGCGAAGGCGGACACCGGTTTCTTGCTCGGTTTGGCGGAAAACGGCGCACAGAGTCGTTTGATATCTTCGCAGGTTATCCTTGAAATTATCTTCACGGTCTTGAACCTAGGTATGTAGGTCGGGTTCTCCGGAAATAAAGGAAACTAAAAACTCGCAACTTTTGAAGTGCAAACCGAATATGTAGTCGTGAGTACACACAACAGGGAAGTGCACACGTAACAAACAGGGAAGAGCAGAATGAACCCTTCTCGCGGCAAAAGCTGGAAGCAAGCACGGCAGGAGGAAAGGTGAATTCCTCTAACGTGACCCCGGCTGATGCGTGAAGCATGTATCGGAGGTGTAGACTGGCACCCACAGTAGATGGGACGATACCAAGAATATCCTGATCATCCTTCTCAAATGTCTTCGGGAATATCACCGATGGAAGTAGGATTACTATAAACTCGCCGTGTTCATGACCCACACAGCCGCCAGAAGGTTTTCGAGGTTACCATGTTGCACGATCGGTATGGAGACAATATTGTCCCTTGGTATGAGCAATACTGGGACGTATTTTTTCGCGTGGCCTAATATACTTCGTGGCGAACCATTACAGGTGGATCAATGGGACTTCGACCCATTCGAGCTGGAGGAAGTGACCCAGGGACACCCGCTAGTGACCCTCAGTGTGTACCTGTTCGCGGTAAAGCACAACCTTTTCTCGTGCTTCGCGTTTAGCAAGGTAAAATATGTTCACGCGTGCACACAAGCGCGCCATCGCATGGGTCTTTCTTTAGTGCAAGCGGTAGCGGTACTAGGTCGTGGTTGGCAAGCTTTCGTGAGTGGTACCGCAGTACCAATACTTCGGCGTGGGCATATACGTGTACGGCGCGAATGTTGCTTCCGATAGTTGTTGCACACGTGTGATCATGCCCATCCCTGTGTGGACATGTCGTCGCGTGGTTCGCGTACGTATTAATGCTCCTCGCGCGATACAAGTCGAGCAACGTGTGTCGTTGCAGTCACGTCGCCACGAACCGCGGCGTTTGTTGCGTGTACCTCACGCTTGACATGACGCCGACTACAGTACTCCTTGTCAACTGTGCTGGTATACCACTCCCTCACAATATGCCCCCTGAATGAATGCGATACAATTACACACAAACGAAACAGCTCATGTCGTAGGCATCAAACTCAAATGAGAAGTGGCTGATGTCCCGTGTTGTACAACGTCGACCTCATGCCACTGAAAGGAAAAACTAGACACCCACACACTTCTCCCGTCGCCCCATGTCGCCCTCCCCTGTCAATTTCTCCCTCCTCCTCCAATTTTCTCCTCCACGTACGTGTACGTTTCCATGTCGGTACCCCCACCCCACCCCCTTGGGGACGGACGAAATGGAATGTTTGAGGAGCAGCCTCACTTCAACACTTTTATGGTCAAGGTGGAGCAGGGCTATGGGTCAGGGACGGGTGCCGGAGTCACCAACGTTTACCACAGCCGACGACACGCGGCCGATGTCACTCAGGCTGTGCACTACTTTCTAAAGGTGAGATTTTCGTGTTGAGGAACTCAATTTGGCCGTATTTTCCGTCGACACAATATGCTCTTCTCATCCCTATCGATGTCCCCCCTTCGTGACCAAGCGGACGCAGGGGGGCGGGTAGAAAGGAGATTCGACGGAACCATGGGATGCTGTTGGCGATGCCGTTTATCGTGTGAGGAGGAATGTTAATCTGCTAGTTCTAGATGTTTTTTGTGGTACGTGCTGAGTCGAAGAAATATACACGCTACTTATTCTGATAGATGGTTCGCGTCTATTGGCAGATAGCGAATATGCTTCTGAATGTTGTCTGATATATTTGGTGTCTCATGAGCTGTCCTAACCGTCTCCGATCCACGAAGGGGAGGGTGAAATCAGACCTGGTCTAGGGAGCATGACGTGTCGAGCTTCAATCCAGCTTGCCTTGTCTATGCACCAGGTCTCGTGGTCTTATGTTAGACTTTTACCTTCTTTGACCTACCTAGTAGTGGCTGAACCTCTAGTCTGCAACAAAGTGTGTGTCTTATGCCGACCTCGTCGCACGCTTAGTTGAGCCCCACACTTGACGAAATCGCTCCGTCCCACACCTGGTCATAAGCTTGCCTCTGGACGGCATGCCCGATTATACCTAGAAAAATTTCCGCTGCAACTTCCCTCTCATTCAGGATTTCCTTTTCGACAAGTTCCTTCTCTACTACAACCCACTCGCGAAGGGCTTTCTCGTGAAAACTAACTGTGTCTGGACCCCGGTTTCGGCTTCAACCTCTTTTCCATCCGGGTGGTACAGCATTGAATGCCGTATGCATACAGTCTGTTTAGGTAGACCCTTCATGCAGAGTGACCTTCGCCGCCGCACATCATGGAGGGAACCGCTGTACGACACTTCGCCGTTCCCTGCACAAGTTGTACAGAAAGGTCATTTGTGCAGGCATCGTCGTAGTTCTTACGTAGATGCGCTTGTTCGCATTACCTCGTGCTTCAACAATAGGTAAAGAAGCGCCGCTTAAACCCCACCCCAGGTGTGCAACTTGGGGCAGCACCTCCAGGACGTGGAGGTGGCCGCCCTACTACTAGGCTCGCTGATTCACGACTTCAAGCACCCGGGGAGGAGCAATGCCTTCCTCACCAGGACAGGGCATAAGCTGGCCATCACGTACAACGATGTCAGCGTTCTCGAAAACTACCATCTGTCTGAGGTTGGGCCTCTAAACGATCTTGAAAATTCTTGAGCGGTCATGTCGAGACAGACAGACAGACAGACAGACAGACAGACAGAGAGAGAGAGAGAGAGAGAGAGAGAGACACACACACACACAGAGAGGGAGAGAGAGAGAAGGGGGGGGGGNGGGGGGGGGGGGGGGGGGGGGGGGGGGGGGGGGGGGGGGGGGGGGGGGGGGGGGGGGGGGGGGGGATGGAAGCGATCGTTTCACCTTCTTCCGATTCTGTTCTTTGAGTTTCACTAGCAGCAGTGGAAGAGAGGGGAGAGAATCGGCAACTGAGGGTGTAGATCGGGACAACCCCGGACAAGTGGCTTTGCACTTCGATTTATTTTGCGTTTCGACTCTTGTGTTCTGAGGCATTGCCTTGCTTTTCAAGTATGGACTACCAAACACCGCTGTTCTCTTCGTCTTCCACACCTTCCCGCCTCCCTCTGCTACACACTCTCTATGACGTGTTGGTCATTCTTCTATTCACTTAGACGAGGGATAGGACTCATTTACTTCAGGCAACCCAGATGGACCATGGTTGGAAGCGCTAGGGGTTCGTTTGCAGCTGGGACACAACTCGGTACAGCCCCCCGAGCGTGCTCGATACTGTTCAAGCACAACCCTTCTTGACGCCCTCCTTCTCTCTTTCTCTCTTTCGTTCTTCCTACCCATCTCTGTGTATCTGTGTTTCTGTCTGACTCTGTGGCTTCCGCTTTGATCACGGCAGGCGTTCTTCCTTCTGAGAAAAGACGAGTGCAATTTCTTTCGAGATTTGGCTCCCGCCACGGCGCAGGAGATAAGGCACATCATGGTGTCTATGGTGAGAAGTTGAGCAGGCACTTTGCGTTCAGTTACTGGCCATAATTTCACCATACGTTTGACCTTTTCGACAGTCACTTCGGTAGAAAGTCTGGGTCACTCCTTACCCCGAAATGGTGGATATCAACAGTAACATCACGGAGACGACCCCCCCCCCCCCCCCCCCCCCCCCCCCCCCCCCCCCCCCCCCCCCCCCCCCCCNCACTGCCGTCCCCGCTCGAATCGGCAAAAGGTCCTCGCGACGGACCTCAAGGAGCACTTCGATATCCTCGGGGAGTTCAATAGCCACCTGGCGGATGTGCGTGAAGGGGTCCTCGTCGACGAAGGGAGATCGAAGACGTACGCCTGCGCCATGAAGGTGCCCATACGGACAGTGCTGATGTTGCCGCTCGGCGCGTGCAGTTCATCGTTTGAAAACTTAACTTTCGTCCGGTGTTGAGCGGGGTGATTTTCTTAGATTTTTGGTGGAACGTGCTCTCCGACTCTTTTATTATAAAGAAATCGTTCAGTCGAAGTCAGCTCTACGTAGATGGGATTTGGTGGGTAGGATGTTTGCTCGCACCACGAATCGAAAATACCTCGCGCGGCGTCCTCAACCCTGGACCCGTATTATTTGCTTCGATTGCTTGGATATTGTTTTTCTTTGCAAGGTTTGTATCAAGAGTGCGGACATCTCACACCCGGCTCGGGTGACGGATCTGCACCTCCGCTGGACGCGTGACGTCATCGAAGAGTTCTTCTTGCAAGTAAGTGAGATACGAAAGCAGCGTCCAACTCTACAGCAGTAGCTTGACACGTAGATGGTGCACGAACTCGCAGAGCCATGAAACACCACTGCAAGCACCGACCACGACACGCGGAGAAGGTCACAGCGGGCACTAGAACAGCCAACAGGCGGCGTAGCTATCGATGAGGCTTCGACGCACGGCAGAAGTATTGCGTTAGTGACAATTTCGACTGAACTCTTAGAGTTGGCACTAAACTGTTTACACCTGGAATAATTTTCTCCATCTACCAACAATTTGCGCCAAATCAATAGTGCTGTACCAATCCCCACACTTGATGGATGTCTCCTCGTCGTTTGTCGGCTTTGGAAACCTTGAATGAAAGCCATAATCTTGCGCTTAAAAAAAAGAAACGACTCTTTGTTGTTGATGAAGAAAATCGCAAATTTCGTCAACCACTTGTCTTGCCTCGCAATCGGACCCCTCCTACCTTCGTCGGCTAAAGAGCTTTCATTGTGTATCCAAACAACAACGACAGGGGGGGGGAGGGGGGGGGGGCGTACTCTTATGTTTTGCATGCCTTAGCGGTTAGACCATTGACCACGCGTCCTCAAGAGGACGGAGCATTGTTCCCACAGGACCGATCATCGATGGCCAATCGTTCCTCTCTACTGTGCCATGGGTGGCTCAAAAATGCTTCCCTAGTCTGTCTATCCTAACAATATCCCTTCCCGCCTTTTCAACCCACCTCCTATGCCCCACTACAGCTACCGTCCTTTCCTCTCTATTCCATGCCT